AAAATTTCACGTACCCCCTAAGATGTCTTCGCGTACCCCCAGATATAATTTCTCTTCAACTTTGTACCCCCAAAGTTGTTGGTGTATAATTCAAGTTATACATAGTATATAATCTACATCTAAAATAAATTAAATAAATTTCATTACTGATTATTCAGTGTTTATCATAAAATAATATATATTCTTTTTAAATTTCGCGTACCCCCGGGGGTCGCGTACCCCAGGTTGATCATAACTGCCATAAACTATCTCAAAATTGAACTACACGATCTGGAACCTGTGAATTCCTGAATCTCCTGGTTTTAGTTCGTCAAGAAGCTGGAGTTTACGTAAAGCTCTGGCAGTGCCAACGATCCGAGATGAAAGAAGTGACTAACCTCGTGCTGTTACCCTCCCCGAGGGTCGTGACTGCCGTCTCCTTCGCTGTGACGCCGTTGTAGTGAACCCGGCGCTCCTGTTCGCCGTCGTACAAAGCGTCCGTCGATATGAAGTTGTGAATCTTCATGGGACCAGAATGGAACCCGCCGCCACTGTCCTCTGTCTCCTGATGGTGATGGTGATGGTTCCCGCGACGCGATGATGCTTGCGTCCCGGCGCCTGAGGAAGGCGTCGACGTGGTAGTACTAGCTTCCGACACACGGGCAACGCAGAAACATGCCAGAATCACGGCTGTCAGCGTCAGCGAACTGATGAACATTCTATTAACTGACGACAGTTTGTAACAGTGTCCTTCAGCTTTGCTTTCGTAGAAGACTTCTTCTTTTCCTGCGAATAGGATCGAACTCTCGTCCTTTTCTTATGTTGATTTTAAAATTACTTCTTCTGAGAAGGAAGAACACTTTCCTGTGTATACAGGCCTACGGGATTATTTTTCTTAACTCTTTCCGTGATACCAACAAGACGGCCACCACGTGGGAATGTTTTTGCCGCTGAGCGGGTGGGAGAAGGGTTCAAGTGACAGCGTTCTCGCAAGTTTTACTCCTCACGTTGAAATCAGAATGCGGACCACTTGCTGCACTTAAAAACCACGATTCACTAAAATATTTCAAAAAAAAACACCAACAACACAATAATGTTCTCCACAGGAAACAAAACCATCCGACGGAAAGTTTTACCCAGGTACTAGGAGGATTCAGTGACGATCCGAGTGAATTTGTAGTTGGCGGTATCCGCTGAGGACGCTTACTCGAGCAGCAGCGACGAGCAGTGGTGGTCTTGGACTAAGAAGGAATCCCATCCATGCAACCGATCCACTATTAGGCTCCGCCCCCTTCACTCACGCCTCTGCTCGCTCGCGTGGTTTTCTGTGTGACGTTTTTCGTCGTCATAGATCCGTGGAGTTTCTTAGACACAATACCACGTCGTCACTACGATCCCGAACTACGCGAAAGTGTGCATTGTCATAGCAACAACGACTCAGATCTCGCGGATTCATATTTTTACATACTGCGTCCAGTTTGAGCGCCTGTTCCGTTACGAAAGATCCTCGACTTGAAGAAGACCCCACTAAACGCTGTCGATGTTAATAAATTTGGTTCCGTGTTATTTTAACGTCGAATGTCAACAAGTGACGTTACTTAAGACATGGATACAACAACTTAATCCACTGTCAGTCGTTAGTAAAATCAATAATTTTCCTTTCAAGACGCGTCCTCAGGTTACCTATGGAGAAGAAGGCCTTCATATACGCGGGAGTAGCCGCGGATAAGCAATCGCGAACAGTCTGCAAGGGATGATACTCCAGCTTTGGGATTAGGCACCCTTCGACTTTGAAAAAAAATAATCTTGTTACGAAATATTATCCAGGGCCTGAGACTTGGACGAGTTCCCAACAGGACTACCAGGAATAAACATTAGAATTTGTGTCATGTTGATTTAGCTACAGAGCTACCGATTGAGTGTGTCCTGTTTTCTGTACATTAATCGTTTCCGCATATCAGCAAGACCGCCTTATTTTTGGTAAATTACGAATAATTGAGGGGACAGGAAACATATCTTGGCTAATCTTAATGAATTATCACATAATTCACGCAAATAAAAACAGAATTTTGGCAGTGGAGCGGGGGACGGAATTACAGAATCCATGTTACGAAGGTGGATTCCGAGTTCTGTCCTCCTGAGTGAGGATGTGAAATCTGATTTCGTATAGAGTCGAAGTGCGGACTCTTCTTAACATGATAATGAACTTTCCCGGTTTCACGACAAGTGAGTAATTAATTTGACAGCCTAGCGACTGTCAGCTTCTCTGGAAGAGATCCACTCTGTGTACCTACTTTGTCTTATCTGTTGTATTTGCGTTCTTATCATTTCCCAAGATAATTTAGTGGAGATATGTCGTTTATTCTTTCATTTGCCGGTTACCTCAAGAACATACGATGTTCACGTCATCTTCTGGGGAACGGAGAGGGAATTCCACGTCAGGAGTGAGTTGGCGCCTCTCCCTGCAAACCTATAAAATACTATACGGCAGTACGCATGCGCGGGTGTTATAATAGTGAGGTTGCACAGGTACTCAGGCTGATGGTTTAGTGGCGTGACTACTGTTCCTATTTTGTGATTGGCTGATCCAGTCTAAAAGTATACACCTCTAGACATCATGCCATGTCTCCCAAGAATTCTTTCTTGGTTAACTGTTCCTTTGTCGTCAGCATCGCATCTGTTCTTGTTACATCAGATCGGTTTCTGGTGTCCTTGCCCCACTGGTAGGTGTTCGATCATGTGCCGGGAAATTTTGGAGGCTGGTGCCACGTATTCTTAATTAGACGTCGTCTAGAATTTCCTTGAACACGCGTGTAAGTACGCGTTGGCTTCGGAAAGAACAATCCAGCCAGGGAAAGTTAGGCCACGAACGGAAGAAGGAAAGAGGTGTTGTTGAACGACGCCCTGGGTTTCTGCTCCTGCCGTGTGGTCTTGTAGGTGGTTGCCAACTTTCACAGGAACGCGTCGCCACCAATTTCAGGGTTGGACGTCGGAGGAAATACTTCCTTTGAAGATTTCTGTCTTCTGGGTTGTTGCGCTGTGTAGTCTGGTCGATGTTAACCAACGTTTCAGAGGTCATACTGCCTCCGTCATCAGAGTATGAAGATTGCTGTCTTCTGGGTTGTTGCGCTGTGTAGTATGGTCGATGTTAACCAACGTCTCGGAGGTCATACTGCCTCCGTCATCAGGGCGATGAATACCAGACTACACAGCGCAACAACCCAGAAGACGGAAATCTTCATACTCACCGCTGTGAGAACCTCAAGTCTTACACTTCCTTCGAAAGTTGGTAATTTATTATGTACAAGGCTACACGTCGTCACAACCCCAGAGGACCACAATAGAAGGGAGATTCAGAAATAGATTTCACAATTACCCAGGTGTGTCTGGATATTAAAATGTTCCAGGAGGTTAGTTCAAGATTTCTTAGATCTGCAATTGAATTTGTATAAGTCTAAAGGCGAAATAGGTTTGCTCAAGTATCAGAACACAGTCCAAATTGAAACTAAAGTCTGGTCATTGAAGACGATGCTAATGGTGGAAAGTCTTTTGGCGCGTGTAGTAATGATGACGTACCTCGAAGATTTTTTTTTTTAAATCTATTTAGACTTCCGCTCAAGCAGATAGAGCTCATCGTGGTCACTGTGTTCGGATGTTTCAAGACGTGACAAGATGGCCGACACGAACAGCTGATTTTGTCGAAGTCTTCGAGTACGATTTCCCTCGTTTCGCCTCATGTTTATGTCCTCCTTTGTTTGCTATGGTCATAAGCTCAGCTGGATGTGTAACCTAACCTAACCTCACTTCGACTGCAAGCACTCGGCACTTCTGGTTTGCATTTTGTTGAGCAGTTAGTATAGATTTTAAATTTGGCTCTCGCCTCTTGTTCAGTGCACCCGACCTGGCACGGTATCAAAATCCTGTCACATAAAACCTGAAAAAAAATGTCTTCAGTCATCGATTGATGCTTGGATTAGACGACATTCCCATAACAAATATCGGAATGGAGTTTGTCATTAGTGGACCATTTTTGGCAGTTGCATTGGTCTAGAATGTTTCTACAAGCAGCTGGAAGCTGGACCTTGAAACGAATATAAATAATTATTTATATTCGTTTCTGGTAAATGTTGCTGAAGCCTGAAGACGTTCATTTTCAGTCACTGGACAGACCTGAGTTTTTATTCCAAAGCTCGTAGTATCAAGTTATCGGATTATCGCTTATAGTGGAGCCTGTTTAACGATAATATCTATTACCTTCCTTGAGGAACTCTGTAAAACCACGAATAACCTCACACAGATTAAGAGGAAAAGTTGATCTCATGGAGCAGCATTCGAACCCGACGCAGAAATGTCCCTTAACTAATCGATTACAATTAACGTTAATGGAATCCCTGTGCCATGACATTTGAACTTCGCAGCTTAAAATTTGCTGATCGCAAATATAGAGGCGCCATTTAACACGAATTACGTCATTGGGCAGTGGCGTAATTCGTGTTAAGTCGACGCATATTTATAGTTTCTCCGTTATTTTATGACATCGCATCACCAAGAACCTCTAGCACTTTAAACTTCTGCTAAGATCCCCTCATGCACAAAAAGCCTGTCGCCATGTGATGATCAACATTCACGTGAAGACGTTGGAGCAACAGTGAGCTAACCTACAAACTGAGATGACGTTAAAAATATTTGTTCTAATTTCCAGTTTGTAACATTCTGAAAGACACAACAAGCCACTCGTGTCTTATCCTGCCTCTGTCTAATATTAGAGGCTATTGATAGGATTATGTATATATATATATATTATTTAATTGTTACAAATGTTTCAATTTTGCCGGAAAACTCGTTGTTGCTTTCATGTTTCCATTGTCGGTTTCGTTTGAGAATGCAAACCGCACACACGTCCCTAAGTTCCAAGTGAAGGCGAGATAAGTACAGTGCTTAGTTGGTGTATCATCACGTCTGCATTTTGACGGCGTAACAAAATGTATTGTATCGATAGGGCGGCAGGTGATGAACCACAAACTGTTTTCAAGTTCCTCGAGATTTTATCTCCCGCACCCACGACGTCATGAACTATATACATAACTAACTGACGACGTTTCCTTAGTTGAATAGAAGACACTGAATCAGGATTTGATTTTTATCCTCAGATTCAAGTTGTATAACTCAGTGGTATTCAATCTTTTTTGTTCGCGTACCCCCCAGATATAATTTCTCTTCGACTTTGTACCCCCAAAGTTGTTGGTGTATAATTCAAGTTATACATAGTATATAATCTACATCTAAAATAAATTAAATAAATTACATTACTGATTATTCAGTGTTTATCATAAAATAATATATATTTTTTTAAATTTCACGTACCCCCTAAGATGTCTTCGCGTACCCCCAGATATAATTTCTCTTCAACTTTGTACCCCCAAAGTTGTTAGTGTATAATTCAAGTTATACATATTACATAATCTACATCTAATATTAATTAAATAAATTACGTTACTGATTATTCAGTGTTTATCATAAAATAATATATATATTTTTTAAATTTCACGTACCCCCAAATATGTCCTCGCGTACCCCAGGTTGAATATCACTGGTCTAGACCACGGCTTCTTAAATATCAAGTTAGTTTCTTCACGGATTAAGATTATCTGTTCTGAGTATCTTCCTGCAGCTTTGTTTCTTTGAATATTCGAGACACAAAATAGAAACGGCAAAGATGTGTCTTACAGCGTTTTACAACTCTCGGCTTTTTAAAGTAATGGAATGGACTAACAAGTGGCTCCACACGCTGAAACCACAGCTGTCTTACGTGTTTGTTAACGAGAGGACACACAGAAGTGACAGCAAAGTACTGACCAGAGACAAGGAATGTTAATGACATGACACGGGCTGTCAGTGTGATACGAGGACCTGTAGACGATCGACGATTAGAGTACGTGATTATTTAAACGAGGCCGGGCGTATCGACACGTGGTAAGAAGGACTAGAGTAACCACAGCACAGAACAAGCAAAGCGGAATAAAGTTTGTGTGAAATTCGCTTATGACGTCTTGCACGTGGCCGTGTGCGGAACTTGGAGTAAGATTTTATAACTCGACGAACTTCTGCTCCGGAAGGTAACAGTCTCTTCTTCTATGGACCCGAAAGTTTTTTTTCAGGAAGACGGCAACTCTTTCTGTCTAGATAAGTCCATTCTATACATTCGTATTACATGAATAAAGCATTGAAAGGCAACTGTATTAATTGGTAT